GTTTTCAGTACTTATGCTAAGCTTCATTCATTTTACGGACTGCAAGAAAACCAATGTGTATTTCCCAAAATGTTGAATTATTCCTTTCACATTACCACATGAACAAGACCCTGAAAAAGGTAATAAAGTGCTCCTGACAGCGCTACAGCTGATTTGCAGAAGCTTGTTTTTGTAATCAAGAAAATCTTTCCAAAGTATTATGGATGAGAAAAAATAACAGATTTTTAAACCAAAAAACAAATGAGCAAGCTGCCCGAGGCAGCAGAAATAGTTGGCACCACAGAGCAGGCAGAAGAAAATGCCAACCCCATACAAAACAGCATGTCAACAAAAATGAAACAACAATTACTGTAAAGGCTCAACATGTCAGGAGCTGGAGGTAGGACAGGTTTGGACAAAAAGTGAAAGGCAACATAATCCTAATGCCTGGCTCCAGCAATGAGAGTGGTGCCCGGACAAGTATGTAGTAGCACAAAGTGAGTGATTATTTCTAATTTCTATTTATAAGTTAAATGCAGTATGTTATGTCATAGTTCAGAAACATCCAACTTAAAAGAGGCAAATACACCAGAAACTCAGATCAAGGGAAAAAAATGTCTCCATCTGTACCTGCGTGGGTTTTGCTCATTGCCTCTGTCTCCTTTATGCTTGATCATCTTGTAATGACCAATGGCCACTGGAGGGCGCACAATCTTCATGCCAGATAGACGAACTCTGGACAAGCAGCACACAACAGGAGTCAACAGGAACATCAGATTCTCAATCAGAAGGATAAAACTGGAAAACTCAATTTCAGAGTGAGGATAATATTACATCAACAAACCTGGTGCCCAAACATTCATGCTATTTTCTATTACTCAAAGCAATAACACTGCTCAATCTAGGTACATCTAGCCTCTAAAGGTTACATTTAAAAAAAACAGAAACATAAAGAAAACAAACCTAGAATTGTTTGTGATGTATGTGAATAACACCTCCCATATATGATGTATGGAAAAAACTGTGGTTCCCTTTTTCCATCTCTGGTGCTTGTGTCCCACCCCAGTCATCTAAGTCAATCAAAACATGTAAGTACTGTAAATGCCCTTCATATGATAGTTTTTCATTTGCAACCATCATGCAAAAATATTATTAAAAGTAGGGGAGAAGTATTGTAGTTTTGCTTCATTTTACAGTTTGTGCAAGCTTTTGGATTATAATTTTTCTGTTGTATTCAGCGCCACTTATAATAGATTGGCAAATGCTAGAGGAGCCAGAGAGTGGAGAGAGGGGACCAAAGTATCATAGAAATGAGATGAGCTTGAAAACTGCCTGAAAACTGTTAAGCACGCAGCCCAGCCCAAATCTGCGAGCTAGTCCATGCGAGCATACTCACTGAGCCCACTCCAAGAGAAACACAGCAAAGCCACAGCAGTGGGACGGGACATGACGATGAAAGATGATGTTAGGACACATAAAATAAAAGCCAAAGAAAAGAAAAACACGTGACAATAAAACTGCAAACAAAAAGGATGATGGATAGATGAGTAAAGCAAAAGATAGTGAAAGAGTATGGGAAATAGAGAGGCTTAGATGGCCGTGCACGTCGTTGCAGGGTGTGGAGCTCATATTCACCGTCCTCACCTGGCAGCAATGTCATCATCCTCTCCACCCCAGCCCCAGTACTGGTTGGGAAAGCCATTCATCTTCATGTACTGATCTGGGGTTACTGCAGACACCCCACCAAAATACTGCGGGTACGGCAGCCTGGGAGAGTCATATCACCGATGCACAATCTTGAATTTAATGTCTCAGTACAATGCATTTAAACGTAATCAATCCATGTACACACGCACTGCTTTTACCTGTATCTGAACTTGTCCATGGCCACAGACAGGTGTGTGGGGAACTGCTTGTGGCAGGTGTAGGTGTTGTGGTCGTTCTCAGGCAGCAAGTCAACATCATGCAGGAAGATGCAGCTCCAGTCTTCATCTCTGAGGGCCTCCCGCACCCCAACGTTAAGCAGCTTGGCTCGGTTAAAAGTACCATTCCCCCACTGAAACCAGAAACAGAAGCAGGAGAGAACACTTAGTTACACACGAATGTATTGATTTCAAAACAAGCAAAGCATGTGTTAAAGGCCTCTGAGAAGCACTACTTCTTCAGGGCAGACTGGACACAAAAACCAGAAAGTGGCCAGGCTGGAGCTAGCTGCTTAGCATGCTAATTTCAAGGGGAGACAGGAAGTGATGTAAATAGAAACAAAATAAGAGGGTTACTTTCCACCGCTGGAGACAGCTCTTGGCAAGTAAAGGAATGAAGTTTGATGCTGAACTTGCAACGTTTGTTCTAGACTGCTAAGTTAACACCCATTAATGCTAATGTTAGATATGTAGCAATAGCAAAACTTAGAGACAGCTCCTTTATGTGCTCAGAAAACAACCACTGACAGACTTCAGCTCACTCAAAACTCTGCAGTTAACTCTGCTGTTAACCACAACCAAGAGGAGAGAGCACATTGGCCCGGATTCAGTTGCTTTTCACTGGCGTCCTGTTACATTTAGAATTCATTTTAAGGTCCTCCCCCTTATATACAAATGCCTTAATGGGCAAGGACCAGCTGGCTACATAACTAACTCCCTTGTTACTGTTATCTCCAAGAACACTAAGATAATCTACAGCTGGTTTATTGAACGTTCCCCGCAACAACTGTAAATTGGGGATGCAGCCTTTGTCAGTTACGGCCCAAAGCTATGGAACACAACCAATAGATATCCAAGAAGCAGCTCACTAAGTATTTTTTAATAGAAAGCTTAAGACTTATCTCTTCACATTAGCCTTCAGCCAGCTCTCATTTTAATTATTTATTTAGTTCATTATTATTCCATCTCATTTTACATTATTGCTTTTAACATGTTTTTATGTTCATTTATGCACTTACTGCATGCCATTTCTTAAAAGATAAATGTAAAGCACTTTGTGCAGCAATTCTTGTATGAAAGGTGCTATACAAATAAAGTTTATTATTATCATTATTATCATTACACGAGTACATAATGTTGCTCTTAGTCCCAGTAATATCTACATGAGTACCACACCACTTGTATACCAGTTTTACACTAGTATTACGGAGACAGTGCAAGCTATTGATATGATTTTAAACCAGCCTGTGCACACACAAACACTCATACATAACCTGACCTGCTGCACTATATAGATGCTGTAGTGGATCTGCTGTCTCTGCAGGAAGGGGTGGAGGTGGTAGAGCAGGGCACGGAGGTGGGTCTGCCGGTTCCGGTATGGTACCACTATCGCTGTGTGGTGGCGGGGTTCACAGTCTGGAGGCCGATAGCGTCCGCCTGGCATCACCAATGGATTCCTCTGTCTGATGTCCTCCAGAGACAGAGGAGAGGACAGATGGACAGACACAGGTCCGACTGGGGGGGGGGGATAAGTTTCAGTGATACTGTCTGGCTTTTGTCTGACCAATATCTTAGCAGAATACCACACACTAACAACATTCACTGTGCCTTTTACTGGATATGCATGTCATAACAGCACACATTTAACCCCTCCCTCCCTTACCCAGCAGTGGAGAGGGGATCTGGCAGTCTCTCAGTGGTGGTCCTGTGGCAGGGGATCCAGTGCCAGAGTTGCGAGGCGGGGGAGGCGGTACTCCCAGATGACTGAGGTTGGTGTAGACGTCATGAGGTCGAGAGTAATCAAACTCCGGCTCTGTGGTGTGCACCAGGACAGACACCAGGCCTTTGAAACCCCCGAGGGAGAAATAGAGGACAAAGGCAAACTGGAAGCCCACCAGCAAGGCTAGTGTGCACGGGGAGTCCAGAGAGCGCCCAAAGCACGCCATAATAAAATAATTGCGGAAATACAGAGAAATTCGAGGTGGGGAAATTGGTTGGAGGGATAGGAGGAGAAATGGGAAGGGAGAGCAAAGTGGTAGCTGGATGAGGAGGGTGGAGGAAAAGGTAGGATATGAGCAAGGGGAGGCAGAAGGAGAAGGGGGTGGGGGAAGAGGCAGTGCTGTGGACAGGCTCAGATGTGCAAGTGGTGGGGATCCATCTGTAGGAATGGGTAATAGTAGTGATGAAGCTCAGTCAGCACTGCCATCACCTCCTGACCATAGACGTAGCTGAGAGGAAAGAAGAAAATGATTGTTAATTACAATTACTGCTTTTTGTTATTGTTAGTGCATCATATCATTCTAGATGTACCATACCTGATTTTGCAATTGGGTCTAATTAAAACCTGTCCCAGGCCATAAAGGGTTCACTCCACCTCTCTCCTCCTCTTCCCCCTTTCATCATCAAGCTTCTGAAAGAAAATAAGACCTAAGTGAGTAACAATGCAGCAGCAGGTTTGCCTCAGTACTGCTGTGTAGTCCACTGTAAGCTAAATTAAGCTGGGGAATGACAAGCAGCTACAAACAAATGTCATGTCTGCTTCTTTATTTAGAATGGCTTATTCCCAGCAGTGACATTCCATGGGGCGTATAAGGAAGAGACGCCTGATGCCTGCGGCTCAAATTAATCCAACATTACAGTTCCCTGTTTGTCCAAACAATTTCATGCTATAGCATGTCTCCTGAGACTGGAGTCATCAATGGAAGTGCGTCTGAATTTCCTGAGACAGGAAACCAGAATCCAGAGCTATTAGTAAAGGAGGAGAAACAGCGCCATGGTTCTCAGTAGGCTACAGATAGCTTTCCATCCAGGTGATCAGCCTATCAGCATCTACCGTTAGGCCTGTGCAGGCAATCATGTGCAGTATTTACATGAATAAAGCGAAAATATGTCAAAAAAATGTCGCTGGCTACAAGATTGCACAAAGGCAATCTGGCAATTTTGTCATATTAATTCAATACAAGCTCTGCTGCACCAGCCGACTCACCAGCATGTCCCTGCGACATTTCAAATCCAGCCCCCGGCTTCTTCTGACAATCGACAGGCCGCTGCCACCGAGTGGACGCGATGGACCAAAAGATAGCCTATCGTTTTTTGGGGTTTTTTTTTCTTTTTCTTTTTCTTTTCTGATGCTGGTCGCTCCACCTCCTCCGCCTCCTCCTCCTCCTCCTCCTCCTCCTCCTCCTAATCTCTCATCCGAGTCGAAATCACCCCGTAGCTGCTTAGAGAGCGCTGCAGCTGCAGACGCTTTCACACGCAAGAGCATAGCCGCATATCTGTCCAGTGTCAACACAGGCAAGTGCGCTCTGCCTCATCCAAACGCGGCTGTATCATCCAGTCAGATGGGCTGGGGCGCACCGCGGTGACGCACAGGGCGCTATATTTGAAAATGAAAAGGACGTGATGATGTTGCCACGGATGATTGATGCATTTATGTATTTGACCTCGTTAAATCAGTGCTTAACATTATTTATCTGAATGCAGATTAAGTTGAGGAAGCTAGTGTGGGACTTCATACTTGTTACAATATCACTCCACATTATTTTAGCCTGCATGTTGTGGTTATTTAAGTTTATATCATATATATTTGTCATTGTGAAAATGCTGCTACAATGTCTGTAGGATGCAGTGGGAGTTTTTCATTTTGAAAAGTGTTTTTTTTTTTTTTTTTTCCTGTGAAGATTCATCGAGGTGAATTTTCTGCAGATTTCTCTATCACGTTGCTTGATCTTTTTTCCTGTGTGTGTGTGCGGGTGTGTGTGTTCATCTGTGCTGATAGTCTGGTGGGAAAGCATCTCTGAAGAGAGAGTTGCACAATGCAGTAGGTATAGGACCACTCCAGACATTTCTTGTGGCTAAAACAGTTCTGACACAAAACACACACACACACACACACACACACACACACACACACACATCCTCTCAAACTCACTGCTGAAGACTTAAGTGTGTGAACATATGCAAAAATACCATGTTGACCCCATTTGACAAAAAGACTATTTTAACTTTATTTCTCACACGGCATCCAACCCAGGGGCATCAGTTGTTCACTGGCTTAATGCAGCAGGCTAAAAATGTTTTTATTCACATGCAGCAGTAGCTTGTCAGATTACAGAACAGAGACAGGACAGAATACTTATGGCTAAAGTAGTTCCACAAAGGTAAACCCCCCAGTAACCCCCCCAGTAACCCTGAAGCAGGTAAAGCATAACAGAAAAAAAACTGTGCAAAACAATGCATCAACACTACTATTGTTTGTAGCACTATGTGAACACACTGCCTTCATTGTTTCAAAGCAAAGCGGGTGTGTCTTTTCTCTATCTGGGGAAAACCCCCACAACCTCAGTGTCCCCTCAAAAAATACTGTATTAAAGTAACATACAGACAGCATAATATTTAGTAAAGGCACAGAACGGACTCCTTACACAGGCACGCAGGTGCTTCAGTCACCTCAGGTGAATAGGACAAGATGTTTAACTCCGATGAGGGGAACTGTGCCTGTCGGTCTTTTAATCAATCAACTGCCATGACATATACAGAAATGTTGCTTAACTGGTAATAAACATTAACCGAAGTTTCAACTTTTTGTGCAATTGTTTTTGTGTCTGTACGTGATGGAAAACAGCCCCAATTCTGTGACCAGTTGTTTATCAATACAGATTCATGTAATCACAGAGTTGAGGGCCAAATGGCTTCAGACCAGTGAAACGGGGACAATGTGATTGATCTCCCAAATCTGCACACACAGAAAGTCACACAGAGCACCTTTTTATATATATAAAAACATCTATAAAGCAATGCGTTTCTATTTTTTTAACTCATAAACTTAACCAAAAATGTTAATAAAAAGACTTCTATCACAATAAGCTCTATTGTGTGAAAAAAAAAAAAAAAAAAAAAAAAAAAAAAAAATTGGAATGAAATGCTTCACAAGTTTTCAGTACTCATTTTTCATTGATGTAGACCGGGGAAAACATTCTTCTCAGACAGTCTCCTCTGTTTCATCCTTTTCAAATGGTAAAACTCTGATTAAAAAATGCGAAAACTCAGATGAAGTACTACAAGCTCTTTGCTTTCTCTCACTGCCTTCAAGTTGTGTTATTGTATTGATGACTTCTCCTTCTATTTCATCAGTTTATTGCCCATTTCCTCCATCGCTCACCCTCTCTCCAGAAAAAAAAACATTTATAATAATAAAAAATAATCTTCTGCAATATGAACTTCCTTTCCTCTATCTCTCAAGTTTTTTTCATTATTTAAATTATCTGCTCCTCCTCCACCGCCTTCCCCTCACTCTCTCCATCTCTCAGCATCTCCCTGTCTTTACTTTTTGTAGTTGCCGAACTGAATGGCCAGCCGGTCGCTGACACAGCGGAACGTCGCGGGCTGCACCTCCCAGTAGTTGACAGGGTTTGCAAACAGGCTGATGCCGTTATAGAACGCCCTCTTCATCCCAAATCCTCGAGGGCAGAAGTCATCCACAGCCACAAGGCCGATGTTGTTGGAATGCAGGTACACCACCTAGAAAAACAGGAGTTGCAACGTAGAGGGGTGAATAGAGCATCATGTGAAACATTCAGTCTCGGATGCTTTTTTGCGCGTGTTTTAGACTCACCTGGAGGTATTTCATATTTGGGAGGCCTTTGGGAACACGGCTGAGGCGGTTGTTGTCCAGATGCAGCTCTCTCAGCCGGGGCAGGTAGGACAGACTGCCGTTCTCTATGTTCCGGATGTGGTTAAAGCTAAGGCCCAACCTGGAAAAAGTGAGACAAGGAGGGAAAATGTGAAATAGTCAGAAAACTGGGCACTGCACGGTACATTAACTTAACTGTTTAACTGCTTAGTTGAAATGATTCTTATCACTGCAATAAAGTGATATTAAACCAGGTGAGAATTAGAGCCACATCAGCCTGGCAAAGCACCCGCGACCAGAAATAATCCCATTAGCGAATAGAAGTGTGAAGGAAAGAGGTGAAAGAAAACTGGCGCATGAGTTGAGGAGAAACAATTTGAGAGGCACAGCACAGGAGTAAATCATGAAATAAAATAAAAAATGGCTGAATTCAATTTAGATGCTCCAGTTTCAGAGTTCTGGTGTTGTTCATGCCGGCTCACTGTCAGCTGGAGCAGCTGGAGTGGGAAAACAGGTTTACAGTAAACTCATAGTGTTATCCTGCTACTTTTAAGTGGCATGTCAGTGTAGTTCATTTTATCACCCCTAAGGGGCACTGGTGACTGGCAATGTATTTTTTTTTATTTTTTCAAACAACAGGATCATTAAGCAAAGCCCTCAGGATGAAAGCAATGGATTATGGGTAAAAAATGAGTATGATGTTGTGGTGTGGAAGGTACCTGTACAGGTTTTTGTAGCGGCTCAGGTCCTCCAGTTCTACAGCCTGGATCTCGTTGTGGTCCAGATGAAGCTCATTGAGACTCTCTGGGAGATCTGAAAGACAGACGCTGTATCTGTAATACTCCACTTCAGGGTGAGATTTGATTTTGTGCCTCAGCTGTCTGTTCCTCTTTGTGTCTTAAAGGTGACATTTTGAGAAAAACACTTTGTCACTTTCTTAGAGTTGACACCACTGTTGCATCGGTCAGTTATGAATCTACAGCCAGCAGCCAATTAGCCTAGCTTAGCATAAAGACTAGAAACAGGGGGAAACAGCTAGCCTTGCTCTGTCCAAAAGTGAAAAAAAAAAAAAAAAAATCACCCATCAGCACTTTTAAAGCTCACTAACACATTATATGTCATGTGCTGGCAGGAGGCAGTGACTTCCTGGAGTCAGTGGTTGTTACCATGCCGTTGTCTGGCAACCAGCGGAGACTCCATTGTACAGATTAAATGAGTAATATACTTTATACAATGTTAATTATGGAGTTTTAGTGAGCAGATTTTTTTTAATCTTTGGACAGAGCCAGGCTAGCTGTTTCCCCTGTCTCTTATCTTTATGTGGGACATTGATAAGACAGTGGGCTGCTGGCGATAGCTGCATATTTACCGTACAGTTATAAGAGTGGCATTGATCAAAGCGTATTTCCCAAAATAAGTATTTCCTTTAAACAATGTAATGCATATATGTTACCATTTTAGCCACACAGAGGGGTTGTTACCTTTTGGCACTCCTGTCAGTCTGGCCTCAGATATACGCAGATAATTCAGTTTCAGTCCCTTGAAGGCTCCAGGCTCAAAACCACTGTTGTGGATGGGGTTCGCTCCCATTTCTGCAAGATAAAGGGAATATTTGTGGCACGTCAAAATACAGTCCCTTTAATCTTCAAAATCCAGTGCCAGTGCTATAAAGTAGCAAAAGCGGCGGTAAGCACCACAGAATATAGCCTAGATTCACTGAAGTCATCAGCATTTCTGACCTATGCAGTTCATGTTGACCAGCCCTGCGAAGGCTCCAGCTGCCACCTTCTTGATGCGGTTCTCATGGATCCGCATCTCAACCAGAGAGGGAGGCAAGTTCTTGGGGATAGTGGTCAGCAGGTTTTTGGAGAAGTACAGCTTCTGCAGGTGCTTGAGAGGGGCAAATGCTCTGGGGTGGACTTTGGAAATATGGTTATTCCTCAGGGACAGACCCTGAAATAAAAAAAATTAAAATTAAAATAAAAAAAAAAACAGTAACCCAGGAGGATCCAATTTCAACACCCATGTTATGCGACCTGTGTGAAAACATCAGTAGCACCCAAACAGTCAGAAAATGAAAAGAAATTGATACACAGAATGCACCAAAGCTTGTTACTCAGTCTCTAGTGAATGTGTCTGAGTAAATTAAAACAGATCCAGAAACAGTTCACAGCAGTCTATCATCTAGCAGACTGTCTCTCCACCTGCGCTGGCTGAGAGATGGAGACAGATGTAGGCTGAGGTAAACAGACCTTAATAGAGAAGTTATTGTATAATGTCATGTCGGGAGTTTCCAAAGCTGCCAGACTTAATATTGCTTTTGGTCAGTGCTCTTGAATGCGTGTCAGGAGTGAGCAAAGCTTTTCTGCTAAGAGAGCTTGAATACTCCCATTTGGCTTCAGGCTCAAACTTTAATACAATTAAAGCTCTCAGGGCGAAGGGCGG